CAATTCCTCTGATATATCTAACTCTATATCTAACATTATAAATAGGATTGTTATATAAGTTTGTTTAAATTATTACAACTTTAAAAACAATATACATATTCTAATTATATCTAAGGGTTTCTTATTTTAACTATTCTAATTTTCTTGGATATAATTAGAATAAATATATTAATAATATTCTAATTATATCCAAGAAGATTAAAATGATTAGGGTAAGAAACCCTTAGGTATAATTAGAATATTATAAAAAAAATAACAATATTTTTTATATCATTTGGAGAGTAATCAGAATAATTATCTTCAGAGCTTTCAGAATCAAAAAAATCTTCCCATTTAGAATAATTTGAATAATTATCTTCAGGATCTTCTGAACCAAGAACATTTAAAGCACTATTGCAATCAGAAAAATCTTTCTATATTAAATACTTTGAGTCACTACTTTTTTGTAAAATTTCACTATATTTCAGAGTTTCAGATAAATTTTGTATTTCTATATCAATATCTGGTAAAAATGAATTTTGAATTTCGTATAATACATCTGTATTAACATCAACATTAGAGAAATTATAATTAGAAATAGATTTTATTTTACTATAATTTTATTATTATTATACATAATTAATGTTAAGTATTAATTAATATTAACCAAACTAAAATACATATTTATTATTAAAGATTTTAATAATAGATTTGCAGCTTAGAATCCTTAATAATTAAATAAAAAATTTAACTAATTATTAATTTGAACGTCATTCTCATCACTTGATGATGATGGCTCTGAAGTCTGTGATAACTCTGAATTCAATGGTTCAGAATATGCTATTGTAGACTTCTGGTAAATGCGTTGAGCTTTCATATGTCTAACTCATGTACTTTTGCTAACCCAAGTGCTACCATAACCTTCCTCAGCACACAAAAAGTATTTGCAATATACTTTATTTTCACGATTTGCAGTAGGTATTAAATCAAGTTCTATTATTGAAATATCATTTTTTTCTTCACTAAGCTCTATAATAAAGCCTCTTTTTGTATTAAGGGTTAAAATATTTTTATTTATGAATTTTAGTAAATTTGTAAAATATTTAAAGTGAAAATTTATTTGTACATTTTATATTTATTTTAATTTAAGCTCAAGATCTTATTTGAAGTCTGACAAGTATAAATAAAACCAAAAAATGGTCTAAATATAAACTTACACTTTTCAAATACTACATAACTTTATATCGTTAAAAAAAAATATCACCAACTAAACGAAAAAATAAAAAAATAATAACAAACCTTTAAATAATGGATCTTTTACTTCTAACAATGAGATTACTAATTTAAAAAATCAGTTGGAATCTCGTAGAGCTGAAAATGAAAAACTTTAGCAGTCGCAACAACCTAATATTACACAAAGCTTTAATAATATTCATATTTCAAAAAAAAATTCTTATTGTACTAATAATTTGGTGAATACTGACAAGCTTCCAAGTATGGTTCCTAGTGATTCTAACGATTCTGAAAATGACGATGGCCCATTACTACTATCAAAAAAGTAAAAAAACTTATAAAAAAGGATATGAAAGG